AAGGGAAAAATGAAGGGGGCGAAATTGGAGGGGGAGACGAACCATGAGAGACTATGGACTCTGAGAAACAAACTGAGGGTTCTAGAGGGGAGTGAGGTTAGCCTGGTGATGGGTATTAAAGAGGGCACGTATTGAATGGAGCACTGGGTGTTATACGCAAACAATGTATCATGGAACACTACATCAAAAAGTAATGATGTAAATGTATGGTGATTAACATAATAAAATAAAAAAATAAATAAAAACAATTAAAAAAAAGAATAAATAAAAGAAGCATAACATAAACACTGAAAAACAAAAGACCACCGAAAGAAATTAGACTACCTGTATAAATGGCAAGACAATCTCACATTCATGGATTGGAAAACTTTATACTATAAAAATGGAAATGCTCCCCATATTTATCCACAGATTCATTGCAATCCCTATATAAGTTCCAGCTGCTTTTTTTTTTTTTTTTGCAGAAATTGGCAATCTTATTCTATAATTCATATGTAAACCAAGGGAGCCAGAAGAGCCAAAACCGTGTTGAAAAGGAACAATGTTGGAAGATTCACACTTTCCAATTTCAAAACTTACTACAAAGCTACAGTAATCAAGACAGTGTGGGACTAGCATAAGGATAGACATACAGATCAACTGAATGAAATTTAGAGTCCAAAAATAAACCCATACATCTATGGTCAACTCACTGTCAAAAAGAGTGCCAAGACAATTAAATGGAGAAAGAACAGTCTTATTAACAAGTAGTGCTGGGACAACTGGACATCCATATAGGAAAAAAAATGAATTCACACCCTTATCTCATACTGTATACAAAAATTAAAACAAAATGGATCAAAGATCTAAATGTAGGAGCTAAAACTGAAAATCTTAGAACATAGGTATCAATCTTCATGACCTTGCATTAGGCAATACTTAAAATACAATCAGAGGAAAAATAAATTGGCCTTTTTCAAAACTAAATACTTTTGCTCCAAAGGATACTATCAAGAAAGTGAAAAGATGACCCAGAGAATGGGAGAAAATGTTTGCAAATAATCTATTATTTGGTAATAATAGGGGTCTTGTACCCAAAACATATTTTAAAAACTCTTGAGAACTAGGGGCTCCTGGGTGGCTCAGATGGTTAAGTGTCTGCCTTCAGCTCAGGTCATGATCCCAGGGTCCTGGGATCGAGCCCCACATCGGGCTCCCTGCTCAGCAGGGAGCCTGCTTCTCCCTCTCCTTCTCCTGCTCCCCCTGCTTGTGCTCTCTCGCTCTCTCTGTCAAATAAATAAATAAAATCTTTAAAAAAAAAAAAAACTCTTGAGAACTTAACAATAAAAAGACAACACAATTTAAAAATGGACAAAGGACATGAAAAGACATTTCTTCAGAGAAGATATACAAATAGCCAATAGTCATATGAAAGGATGTACAACATCATTAGTCATTATGGAAATACAAACCAATACTGTTAAGAAGGTCAATGGAAACAGATTAAATAATGATAGCTCCTACTTAGCAGGCATTTACTCTGTTTATTCTCAAACAACATTATGACATAGTTATTATTGTTATCTCTAGTCTCAGGTGAGGAAACTGAAGACTAAAGAATTTATGTCTCCTAGTTTACTATTACTAGCTAACCTAAGTCACACAACACGTCAGAGATGAAACAGGGATTAAAACCCAGACAGTATGACTCCAAAAACACATGTACTTGAACCACTATACACGTATTCCTCCTATAACGTTAATATATATATATGAGACATGTTATATTTTTTAAATGAACTATGAAATAGTACACTAGGATTACAACAGAAAAATACATAGGAAAAGTCTAGAAGAAATTATACCAAAATAATAAGACATTGTATTTAAGTGATGAATTAGGGTAATTTCTGTTTTCCAAATTTTCTATTATATGATGAATTAACTATAATAATATCTTTTAAAAAATTATGTTCAAAATTAAAAACTTCTAAACACAGAAACACACACCTGTAGTTTTAGGAGAAATAAAATTATAATGTGCTATTACTAAATAGTTGTGCTCTTATATAGGTAAAGTCCTAGCACTGACTCAAAGTACTTATGAGGCCTTAGAAAAGTGATTTAAGCTCTGTTGGATTCAATAACAAATTAGAGAAACCGTATATTATCTTTAAGATTCTTCAAAATTTTATGAATTTATTTTTCACTCTCTAGTTATGATACTGAAACTCTGATTTGACTTAAAATGATATTCCTACATTTTGACAGTTTGAACATAAAGTATTCTACAATGTCAATTCATATTCCATGGTTTACAAATTACAGCAATAGATCCAGTTGTGGTAAATAAGAAAAAAGTATTAACAGTAGTATTTAAATAGAAGGTGAAAATAGGGGGCACCTGGGTGGCTCAGGTGGTTAAGTGTCTGACTTCAGTTTGGGTCATGATCTCAGGGTCCTGGGATGGAGCCCCACATCAGGCTCTCTGCTGGGTCGGAGTCTGCTTCTCCCTCTCTGTGAGTGTGCACACATTCTCTCTCTCAAATAATTTTTTTTTAAGATTTTATTTATTTGACAGCGACAGACACAGTGAGAGCAGGGCTCGACCCCAGGACCCTGGGATCATGACCTGAGCCGAAGGCAGACACTTAACGACTGAGCCACCCAGGTGTCCCAATAATTTTTTTTTTTAGAAGGTGAAAATATTTGGTTTTCAATAGATACTTGGAATTGCCTCAAATTCCAATTGAACCTTGTGGCTGGCTACTTCCAGAATCATTCTTACAAATGATTTTTTAAGAACTAGTTCTGAATATTACCCAGCTATCAGAAAGGATAAATACCCAACTTTTACATCAACATGGATGGGACTGGGGGTGCCTGGGTGGCTCAGTCATTAAGCGTCTGCCTTCGGTTCAGGTCATGATCCCAGGGTCCTGGGATTGAGCCCCACATCGGGCTCCCTGCTCAGCGGGAAGCGGGCTTCTCCCTCTCCCACTCCTCTGCTTCTGTTCCTGCTCTCGTTATCTCTCTCTCTGTCAAATAAATAAATAAAATCTTTTAAAAAAAAAATAAAAAACATGTGATGGGACTGGAGGGGATTATGCTAAGTGAAATAAGTCAAGCAGAGAAAGTCAATTATCATATGGTTTCACTTATTTGTGGAACATAAGGAATAGTATGGAGGACATTAGGAGAAGAAAGGGAAAAATGAAGCGGGGGGAATTGGAGGGGGAGATGAACCATGAGAGACTCTGGACTCAGAGAAACAAACTGAGGGTTTTAGAGGGGAGAGGGGTGGGGAGATGGGTTATTAAGGAGGACATGTATTGCATGGAGCACTGGGTGTTATACGAAAACCATGAATCATGGAACACTACATCAAAAACTAATGATGTACTTAACATAATAAAATTAAATTAAATTAAAAAAAAACTAGTTCTGAACTTTGAAGATACAGCGTACCTATACATAGGATTGCCAGATTTAGCAAATTAATACAGAACACCAAATTAAAACTGAATTCCAATAATTCTTAGTATAGGTAATATCTGGGACATACTTACCCTGAGATATTATTCATTATTTGAATTTCAAATTTCACTGGGTATCATATACTTCACATAGCAACCTAGCCTATGCAGAATATTTTTAGGGGGGGAAGGAAATTTTCTTATATTTTATGCATACTATTAATGAAAGTATTACCAGATAAGAAGCTCAGATAATTGCAAAAACTGAGTACATATAATTTACTATGAGGAGAATTTTCAAATTCTAGCTTAAATTATTGGATATTTCCTCCATAAGTGACAATATATTACATTATGATCATAAATTCCTTTTATAAGTCAAAAAATTGTGATTTACTTAATGAGATCTTCATTCCTTTTTTCCATTGAAAATGGCATTCTAGCAGAATTATTAAATAATTCCAAAAGTAGTGTGATTGCAGTATTCATTAGTTGACGGATGAGTTCCTGAAATATGTAGTCAACCAGTAGCAGAAACCTCAAAACTGTTTTTAATAAACATCGATATTTAGGCAGCTTGAAATGTACTGTGTCATCTTCAGAGACGTTTGACTCAAAATATTCTTTAATTTCTTTCTTTTCTGCCACCTACAGTTCAATAAACAATTGAGAAACAAGTGATAATTTCCTATGTTAATGTAGCATGATTACAACACTGCAACTAAACATTATTACGACAATTTTCATGAAAACTTTATGCCTGGAAAACTTTATGCACTGTATTTAAACAGCAGACAAAAAAGAAGCCTATGAAGTTTGGGGTCTCACTTATAAGCAGATGAGTTTATGGAACTCAAACAGGAAGTACATACTAATGGTTATCTAAGCATTCCTACACAGAGGGACCCTCCTCAAGTATACCATTGGGAGTAGAGCTACCAATGGGGGGAGAGTCAAGTGTAAATAATAGGTATCCTAAAATCCAGTCCAGTGCAGCCTCCCCTATGCTAGGCTATAGCAATTACTTTGTTTGTTTTTAACACTTATACGATACATAATACAGAATTAAGAAAAAATTTAAGTTCATCAAATCTGATGTCAGAGTTTTATCCTTTAAACAATGTAGCTCTTAAGACAATTGACTTAGTATGTTACTGGGGAATAAAATCAGTACTACTAGTACCACCAAAACTTCTAAATTGTGTCCTCTAAAATAATCTCAAAGTTGGTCAAATGTTTCTTTTTAGACACATAAACATTTTTTTTTAATTATTGATGGACCTTTAAAATTCTAAAAATATTTCCAGTATTTGTTCACCTATTGGTTGTTCTTTTTATTTTTTGCTCCACTGATACTTAAATGCTTGATAGTCCTTTCCAAATTGTATTCTAATTTTTTTTTATTTTTTTAAAGATTTTTAATTTTTTATTAGAGAGAGAGCACGAGTACAAGCAGGGGAAGCGGCAGGCAGAGGCAGAGGGAGAAGCAGACTCCCTGCTGAGCAGAGAGCCCGACGCAGGACTTGATCCCAGGACCCCAGGATCATGACCTGAGCTGAAGGCAGACGCTTAACCGTCTGAGCCACCCAGGTGCCCCGATTCTAATTTTTAAAAACACAATTGCATTTATGTTGCCTCTCTTCATGTTTCTTTTTTTTTTCATTTGTATTTTTCTTTCTTTTTAAAATGAATTAGGTCAGTTGATTATCAATTTGGCAAGTTTTTTCCAGTACTGGTTGACTCTCTGGAGGAATGGTTTACCATGGTGATGTAGTTCTTTACTAATACAACAGATGCTTGCAGAAATTGGGCTAAAAAAAAACAAGATAACTCATATACCAGTTATGGGCACAGCTATGCTGGGCCTGACAAATGAAATACTGACTTTATTAATAGGTTATGTTTTTATTGAAAAGGTCATGTTTTTCCAGGAGTGGCCACATGATTTGAAAACTTTATCTGCAAAATGCATTTTAACTGGTAAAATGGTGAGGGAGAGTCTATTAACTATTCAAAATAAAGATTTTTAGCATTGGTACTAAAGGAATTTTAAATAGCTTAATAACTGTATCAATATAAAAGTATACAGTAGTAAGCCTGGTAATGCTGGCCTTTTTATTGAACATTCTGAGGTTAATGGAGATTCTGACACCGATAGGCAGATAGGTAGATAGTCTCTAGCATCACAGGCTATATTTTGGGTCAGGCATATCTCAAGTCTGACTCTAGGTTCACATCCTGATGGTGGGTTTCGGTTTTCATTTCATCAGTTCTACGCCTGTGCTGTGTCTGGGCAGTCCCCAACATTGCCCAGAACACCTTTTAAAGTAGCTGCACTTTAGATTCACCTGAGGAGCTTTTTCACTGCTGGCAGAGGCTCCATCCTCAGAAACTCAGAAACTAATTAGTCTAGGGTGGTCCCAGAGATCAATATTTACTAAGAGCCCCCCATCCCCCCCCACCAGCTGATTCTAGTGTGCTGCCTAAGGTCTGGCCACTGAGGAGTCACACATTTCAGTTTTAAAAATTCACCCAAATGGCACTGTAGGGAAGCCCTGCCTCTGCCCCCAGCAAAGATCTACAAGTAAGACAGGTGTCCCTGAACAAAAACAGCTCTGGGAGAACTCTGGAGTCCACTGAGGAAACTTCAACAACACTGTGAAACAAAAATCCTGAGAATAACCACGCAAAAAGAGAAGGAAGACAGCTTCAATTTGCCCACTTCCTCCCATCCCCAGCTGGAACTGCTCAGTGCCAAGAGGAAACTTCCCAGCTAGAAAGAGTCCCCTCTCTCATCAGGAAAGGAAGAGCAGAGTGAGCAACCAGCTTTCCCAGGCTTTGGGGCACTGAACAAAGGTCCCACTTTGATTTCACCCTGCCCAGACCAGCAAAGCTGAGATGGACAGAGATGGCTTGAACAAGGAAGAAAAACATGGACTGCTAATAGCAGCCATGCAGCGGGAGTGATCCCCGTTCACAGTGACCTGCTCAACACACAAACACGGCAACTTTTGCCACTGAAGAAGGAATCAGTAGCGAGCACAGCTGCCACAGACCCCCAGCCAATTTCACTAGCTTTTGACAGGCAGGTATTTGTATTCACTGATGCCCGCTGCCTAAGTCCCTCTCCATCCCCTCCCCTCCCCGACCCCACACTGTCAGCCAGCCCAGGTTTCTGTGGGTGCATGAGTACAAGACACCGGCCTAGAGCCCCATCACTGAGCCCCACGATGCACATGCTCGGGCTATTTCTTCAGGTGCATTTGCATGCTGCTGGCCTGACACCTGTCACTGGCCTTGAATGCCATGCCCCTGTGGTGTGACCCAGCAGCCACAGGAGAACATGCTGACACCCGTGCACCCACAGTTGGCCTGGCCCTTGCTGCTTACCCTGACCTTCACCAATGGGTGTGTCTCCAACCAGCCCCTGCCACTATAAAGAAACCTGCAGATGACCCGAACAGCCAAGTGTGTACACCCCACCAGTTCCGGCCACCACCACTGTCTGCCTTGGTCCCGAGCCCCTGGACCTGGAGCCACTACTGAAAATCCTTACAGCCACTGCAGACCTCCAGAATATTTGTGAAGAACCACACAGCTGTCAAAGCTCTGGTCCCCAGAGGCCTGAGCAAAGAGACATCATAATGCCCCAGGACCTGGTGCAGTTACACAGCCCCACATTTGGCACCCTCCACCGCTAGCGCCAAGACCCAAGATGCTCCAGCATGCCCCACCTGCAGGCGAAATTCTTCCCTTATCAAAGTCAAGTCATAGTGTCTGGAAGACGTGACTCCTTCTTCAAATGCACAGACACCTTTGCAAGGCTACTGGGATCATGAAAATCAGGGAAACATGATTCTACCAAAGTAAAACTCAGTCACTGACCCCAAAGAAATGGATATCCAGGAATTCCCAACAAAGAATTCAAATTAATTGTTCTAAAGATGCTCAGAGACAAAAACAGACACAGATCAATGCAACAGAATAGAGAATCCAGAAATGGACCCTCAACTCTATGGTCAATTAATCTTTGACAAAGCAGGAAAGAACATCCAATAGAAGAAAAGACAGTCTCTTCAACAAATGGTGTTGGGAAAACAAGAAATGCAAAACAATGAAATTGGACCACTTTCTTACACCATACACATAAGTAAATTCAAAACGGATCAAAGACCTAAATGTGGGACAGGAATCAAAATCCTAGAGAAAAACACAGGCAGCAACCTCCTCAGCCTCGACCACAGCAACTTCTTGCTAGACACGTCTCCAAAAGCAAGGGAAACAAAAGCAAAAATGAACTAGTGGGACTTTGTCAAGATAAAAAGCTTCTGCACAGCAAAGGAAACAATCAACAAAACTAAAAGGTAACCTACAGAATGGGAGAAGATATTTGCAAATGACATATCTGATGAAGGGTTAGTATCCAAAATCTGTAAAGAACTTATTAAACTCAACACCCAAAAAATAAAAATCCAGTTAAGAAATGGGCAGAAGACACGCATAGACATTTTTCCAAAGAAGACATCCAGATGGCCAACAGACACATGAAAAGATGCTCAACATCACTCATCATCAGGGAAATACAAATCAAAATCACAATGAGATAGCACCTCATACCTGTCAGAATGGCTAAAATAAAAAATACGAGAAACAAGAGATGTTGGCGAAGATGCAGAGAAAGGGGAACCCTCTGACACTGTGGGTGGGAATGCAAACTGGTGCAGCCACTCTGGAAAACAGTATGGAGGTTCCTCAAAAAGTTAAAACAGAACTACCCTATGACCCAGTAATTTCACTACTAGGTATTTACTCAAAGGATACAAAAGTACTGATTTGAAGGGGCACCTGCACCCCAATGTTTATAGCAGCATTATCAACAACAGCCAAATTATGGAAAGAGCTCAGATGTCCATTGACAGATGAATGGATAAAGAAGATGTGGTGTATATATACACAATGGACTATTACTCAGCCATCAAAAAGAATGAAATCTTGCCATTTGCAATGATGTGGATGGAGCTAGAGTGTATTATGCTAAGCAAAATAAGTCAGTCAGAGAAATACTATGATTTCAGTCCTATGTGGAATTTAAGAAATAACAGATGAACATAGGGGAAGGGAAAAAAAAAAAAAAGAGAGGGAGGCAAACCATAAAGAGACTCATAACTATAGAGAAAAAACTGAGGGTTGATGGAGGGAAATGGGTGGGGGGATGGGTGGTGGGTGTTAGGGAGGGCACTTGTGATGAGCACTGGGTGTTATAGGTAAGTGATGAATCACTAAATTCTACTCCTGAAACCAGTATTACACTATATGTTAACTAACTAGAATTTAACCAAAACCTTTAAAAAAAAGATGCTCAGAGATCTATAAGAAAAGAACACAGGTAAACAATTTAATGATATCAGGAAAACAATACAAACAAAATGAGATGCTCAAAAAGAGACAGAAAATGTAAAAAAGAAACAAGCAGGTATTTGGAGCTAAACATATAGTACAGTAACTGATAATAATATAGTAACTGAATGAAGAATTCAACAGAGAGCTTCAACAACAGACTTCACAAAGCATAAAAAAAAATAAGTGAACTGCAAGACAGATCAATTGATATTATCCAACCAGAGATAAAAGAAAAATGAGTGAAAAAG